ACACACACACACACACACACACACACACACACACACACGCACACACACACGCACACACACACTCCATCGATAGGATGAGCAAAAATGGAATGAATCTTCCGCTGAAATGGGGAAATATACACTCCCACTCTTTGATTTTGCTCACTCTGTCGATCCGAGTACCGTGCGGCGTGGGCGGGTTTGAGACTTATCGTCCCCCTCTCTTTCTCTCTCTCTCTCTCCCTCTCTCTCTCTCTCACTTAGTCCATAGATGCAGAGAAGTCAGGTAGCGAGAGGGTGAGGGAGAGATGATGGATTTAGAGGAGAAAGTAGAAAGAACTCTCTCTCTCTATTACACACACACACACTTGGGCAGTAGTGTATCTTGCCACGTTCTAGCGGTATATAATATATATATATATATATATATATGTATATATATATACATATCTACATTATGCCTTCTATGGAGGTCGCGTGTAGCAAGTCGCGGAGTTGGAGACTTACCAATTCGTTCTCCCGTTTCTCGTTGTCGTCAGCACTCAACATCCCCTGTAGGCCTCCACTCTCACATATGGTAAGTAACGGGTCATGTGAGTATCCTCTCCCTCTCTCCTTTCCCCTTCTTCGTCTTCTTCTTCTTCTTCTTCTTCTTCTTCTCTTTCGCGCACCTCACTTCTTCTACGTTCCCCCCCCTTCTTCTTCTTCTTCTTCTTCTTCTTCTTCTTCTTCTCCTATCACTACTTCTCTATGCGCGGCCACTTCTGCCTCTCCGCGCACCTCATTCGCGCTACCTCGCCTGCCTCCGCAAGCGCCTCTCTACACCTCATTCGCGATCTTTTGCTTGCGCCTGCACGCGCGGCTTATTCTCGCTGGCCCCGCTCTCACTCTTCTTCCCGCTCACGCGCCTTTTTCTTCTGTGCAGCTACCTTTTCCCCGCCGCGTGGTCATGCTCGTTACCCATCATCTTTGTTTGTTGGCGCCATCTACCTTCGACTCTCTTCCTCTCCTTCTCCTTCTTCTCCTCCTCTTCCTCCTCCTCCTCCTCCTTCTTCTTCTTCTACTCCTTCTTGGTCGCGTTCCTCTTCCCCCCCCCGACTTCGTGATTGTATCGGGCAAATTGCGCTGTGCCCCCACTGCCTGTGTGTGAGTTTCCCATCGAGTCGTCTTCGACTCTGCGGGCCTGGCCACGCCTCCGGTTGTGGCACACAGGCAGCGCCGAACCCGACCGCGACTACGGTACAGATTCGGCCGTACGAATCTACCATGTGGGGCTCGAAATCGTAACAGGCAAAAATAAAAAGAAAAAGAAAAGAAATAACAATAAATAAGAATCTAACTATAACAATAAAAACAAGATAAATAAAAAAAAAAAAAACTAAGTACTAACTAACTGGCTCACTGCTCGAGCCACTTATCGTGCTTGCAGCACAACAGAACCCAACTAACTACTAACTTCTGATATCTAGTGCACGGGATCGAGCCCCGGCCGACTTAGCCTGGGTAAAAATGTTGAGGAGCTCCTTATAAAAAGGAGCTAGCCTCAGTAGTTGGGCGGAATTGATCCCCGTACCCTATGCTTAACAGTCCCGCGCCTAAACCTACTGAGTTAGCTCCCACTTCGAATAAAAGGGGAACAACTCAGTACATAAATAGTATCGGGGCTCTGTCCGACCGGTGGACTGAGCCCGTTTTTTCTAAGTCTGTGCGTGTGCACGCTCGCCGGTCTGTGTACCTGTTTGAGTGCTTGTTGACTTGAGCGTGTGTGTGAACCGCAAAAGACACTTGGTTGAGTGGACGGCCTAAAAGACCGGTACTTACCTGCGGCTGTGACATTGAGGGTTGCAACAGGGGAAACACTCAAGTATCGGGTAGAGAGGCCCGCGACACGTCAGAGCAGCGAAAATACTCAAGTAGCGGGTATGCCGGGTTACCACACCAGTAGAGGTAGATGTGCGCGACACTCGAGGACGCTCGAAGGAAGACAACAGTTGGCATTTTTAGAGGCCCAACACCGGTCGTCGCCGCTTGGCGTGGTGGTGGAAGATTTCTATTGGCTGCCCTGGCCGCGCGGTCGGGGCTTATACTATTATCTCAGTCCGCTTTCGAGCTTACGGCGGCGCGACGAACAGATTCTTCCCATACTGGTCGATTCGACGCCTCTGGACAAGATCTAATTCGTTTTTCCCTTACTGCCTGAACCTTTGACTGATTTAGATAGTGGTCGACGCATCGCATGCGACCTTGTTTTGTTCTATTCCAACCCTCCGGCCCTGGCGGTCGGAGACTTTTAATTTTTCACTAACCCTCACCTGTTATTATATACGTCGTATCACTGTGCACGGTCGCCTAAAAATCTCGGCCTCAATGGTCAAGAAGTTTGCTTCACATCACCAAGCCAAAAAAATTCTCACATTTTACTCCAGACTGTCTCCGCCACAGCGATAGGCGTTGATACTGTATCATATGCAAAATCATGAGCAAATACCCTTGTAAGGGTGTTTGCTCCGACAGCAACAAGATCACCTGCTTGCTAACCTTTTAAAGGAGATGAGCAGGACAAGTCTCAGGAACTCATTCAGACATTCATGACAAACATACCACAAAGAAAAAGAGAGGGAGCTAAAGTCGGAGATATAGCTTGACCGGAGAAGGGAACTAGAGACAGAGAAAGAGTTGTAGACACAAACAAATAGATCGGAGAACAAAATCCAGCAGTCCGCCGTGAACTTAGCTTCCAATGAGAAGTGGAGTCGAAGATCAAGGGCGCCCAAGCCTTCTTCTCTCTGACTATGGCCCCAGGCCATACAACCTCTCATAAACATGCACCTTTCCCTACCCTGGTACTGGCGATCCTGGTCACCACATACCAACCTCCACACCACAACGATCGTCACCTCGCCAACTCAGCCTCTACACCAACTTGCCCGGATTCTGTAGTCCGTCGCGGCCACCCGACACACAGCCTTGCGAAACTACAGTCGACTCATCAGGACTTTTCGACCCGCCGTGCATTCCCATCACCTAGCCACAACTTCCCAGAAGTTGGCAGATGGGTTGAGAGAGAACTTTTCGGGAGTGCTTGCGGGTTTTGTAGTTGCGCGCAGAATAACAGAAGAGGGAGAAGCATGGGATAAAGACCAGAAGGAGTGAAGAGGAAGTTTGAGATGATCGCCCGTGGAAAGCCATATCTACCCCGCAGGCTCTTGGCGCAACCAATCAGATTGCTTTGTGCAAGGGGAATTTCAAAAGCCCGAAAAGACCCCGCGGAAACTTACAAAACGACAAAAGACAATCGGACTAAATGCAGCCTTTTGGCTGCGAATGGGCAGGCAACTTGGACCGAACAGCAGTGATAGGCACCAGGGCTGATAGGTTGCCCAGTCCTGGTGGAAGCGGAATCGGACGAGCCTTGTCGAAAGGGAACTTCGGACGCCAGGCCCAGACAATCTACTACAGGCCCCAAGAGACTTTGGACCCTATCCTAAATATTCCTTAGGATTCGTCCTTGGAGCCCACGACGCGCTGAGTGTCTAGCGAGGCCCCCAGTCCTTGACGCAGCCCTCCCCCTCCTTTCCAGCTCCCCCTTCTCTCCTGTCCATTGCGGGGATTTATGAAATCGCGCGGGCCATGTCTGTCCCCGGGGTACGTGCCCTAGTCCTTGACGCCCCCCTCCCCCTCCTCCCCCAGCTCTCCCTTCTCTCCCGTTCACAGTTGCTGCCCGTAAGCAAGTGCAGATCCCGCTTGGCCCCGCGATTTCGCGTGCGCGCGTGCGCTTATCCTGTCGGAAGGCCGGTTGTCGTCCCGAGGTCCACGGGGTTGAGCGGAAGGCGCCAGGGCAATTTCCTGGTGGCGGGTGTGTAGGGCGCCGCGACAGGGTTGATACGCCGGAAACTGACGTTTCACTTTTCAACCCAACGATTTGTCCACGTGGCTAGAGATTGGCACGTCACGCATTGCCGTGCCACGTCAGACGTCAGAGGACGTACAGTAGAGTTGGAGTCATCGTATTCGCGAGTGGGAACACCGGAGATCGAGACGAGACGAGACGAGGGCACGAGCGTCGAGAGCTGTGCTTGGCTTGGCTTGGCTTGGCTTGGCTTGGGAGGCACAACAGCGCATCTCTAGGAGAGGGAGGTGGTTGAGGGGGAGGAAAGCTGCGAAGCTAATTTGCGTGGAGCAGGTGATCGGCATAGAGACAGAGGAACCGTCGGGATCTGTGCACTGAACGCACCGGACGACGAACAACGCGCCCACCGGTCAGTAGGATTGCMCCTTTTTTTTTTTTGGTACAACAATTTTTTTTTGACTTCTGTGCACAGCAATCTTGAGCTCAAGGAAGGATGTTCAAGTAGGTCGAGTTCGTTTTTTCAATGAACTCACTATGAAACAGATACTTAGCAGCATCTACTCAAGAAAGGAAAAAGCACAGAAAATGACGAGGAAAGTATGGCACATGGCTTCAGACTTTATTCTCCCTCTAGGCAGCTTTGTGGATGAGACTCGTTTTTCTTTGTCAGCTCATTAGGTGTGTGGCACTGTGTGGTTTATCACATCATCATTTGTGATGTCGTCTAAGTAGGTCGCAGTCACCGTAGCATGCATTTGGCGCCAATTACCGCCCGATTCAATTGACTTGAGTCCTACCTTCTTCCCCCGAATACAACGTACGGTCATTATAGCTGTATTTGAGTGTGACCTCCAACTCAACTTCAGCTTTCTCGAAAAAAAAACAAAAGGACTGTTCATTACGGGCGTAGAATGGATGGATCCGCGCAGCACACACACGCAGGCACGCGCACACACACACCCAACAGACACACACACACACACACACACACACACACACACACACACACACACACACCCTTCTACATCTACATCTACATCTACATCTACAATAATATAAATCTACATCTACATCTACATCTACAATCTACAATCTACAATCTACATCTACATCTACAATCTACATCTACATCTACAATAATATAAAAACCGCTAACGTCATATCGCACAGCCCAGATTGCGGGCCGATCACCACCCGCGGACGGCCCAGATCGCAGGCCGGTACTCGACGCGCCTACGGCCATTCCACGCCTACTCCCGCGCCTACGATCCTGCTGTCGCCTACTCGCTACGCCCGGGCCTACTCCCCCCTGCTCGACGTGCTTAGTCCCGCCTGCATTCTCTCTCTCTCTCTCTCTCTCTCTCTCTCTCCCCCCTAGTACGTGGTCCGTGCTTCGGTGCTTTGTGGTACGTGAGTCAAATGTTCTACGTGAATTTGGTGTGCTACGTGCTTGGTGCTTCCGTGACGCATTGTGGATTCTGTGCGTCATGCTTCGTCCTTGCTACTTCGTGGATTCGGTGCTTGGTGCATCGTGGGTTCGTGGTGAATTCGGTGCATGGTGCTGCGCCCTTCATGGTTGGCGAATCAGCGGTCCATGCTACTTGGTGCTCCGTGCTTAGTGCTTTGGTGCTTCATACTTTGTGAGTTGGTGCTTTCGTGAATCGGTGCTGCGTGGATCGGTGGTTCGCGCGTGGATCGTGAGCTCCTGCCTAGTGCGCCGACGTGAGCTTCGATGTGGATTCCTGCTAGAGTGAGTGTTTCTATGTGTGTGTGTGTGTGTGTGTGTGTGTGTGTGTGTGTGTGTGTGTGAGAGAGAGAGAGAGAGAGAGAGAGAGAGAGAGAGAGAGAGAGAG